TGAAGTGCTATTGCAGCTTTTCACTGAACATATTAACTTTTTATTTGATTTAACTTTAGAAGAAAACTTCGTCGACTCCATCATGAAAAGACTTTTTACTTTTTTAACGTGTTTTATTATTTTAATAAACAATTTTACAATTTGCGAGCACAGTTCCTATGTAATTTTTTCCTTCATTCGAGTTATAAATTTTGCCACCAGATGGTGTATGTCAATTTGACGGATCCCAATAGTAATAATATTTATTTAAACAATGTTTTCGATTACTTACGACAGTTACATACTGCGGGGACTGACATTTTACTCTCAACGCTGCGAAAGAAGCATAACTTCAAAGAAACGCAGAACAATATAACTAATACATTTACCGAATGCCTTTGTAATTGTGTTGACTATTAGAAAAAGACCAATGTGGAGAAAAAGGTTCCTGTTGTTACCATTCACGAAGTATCATCTCAAAATAGCGCTTTCTCGTTTGTCAAAGTATCTACGTCGATTCTTTGATATTTATCCGAGCGTATTTTCCATTCCATTACAAGTCATTATTTTAACGATGTCAAAAAATATGAAAAATACCAATCCCAATGTAATTTACATGCCATTGAAATAATCCCTACTTGAATAAACATCGTTGTCATCACAATTTTCATTGTCCTCCTTTAGTCAGTTGATATTTGAATCTATATATGTAAAAGAAAATCGTTTTAGTTACACCATTTATAACTCAAGAACGGCTAAAGCGATTCGGCTAAAAATTGATGGGGTGGTAACTTAGAAACAGGAGATGGGCATAGGATACTTGTTATCCTGTTCCCATGGAAAAAAACGTGGTATAACAAAACGCAACTGACAGCTAAACGTAATGTTGTCTATGGTTAAATATGGTGTTTTACTTATAGTCAGATTTAAATGAAACTTGGTTTTAATGCTTTTTCACATGAAATTAGTAACATACATACCTATTTCAACATTTTACAAAATTCTTCCTGTTTAGGAAGCTGCAAGGGGTGTGCAAAGATTGCATATTTGTTTTTGATCCGATTTACTTGAAACTGGTTAAGAAATTCAACCCTTATTGGGAGGGATGAGTGGTGAAGAGGAATTGCAATGTTTGAATGGAAGATATATTATTTGTGGTTGGATTTACTTAATGGTCTCTCATTTAATTTTTGAAAGACCTATCTCGACATTTTAAAAAATTCAACCTCCAAAGGGGCAAGAGGTTAAAGTGTTGCAATTTTTGTTTGGGACATACTTTATTTGTTGTTGAATTTACATTTAACTTGGTATATATGCTGTTTGATATTATTAATCAATTGAAAAGAGGTTGCAACGTTTGCATGGGGTATATTTTATTTGTACTCGGATTTGCTCGAAGGTTGCTCATTGTTGAAATTAAGCAAATACGTATTTTGGCAAGTTTTAAAAATCAACCCTTAGTATTTGAAATCTAAGATGGCGACATTACATAAAATTAAAAAGTTGTAAGGTTGAACTGGGAGTTAAAAGGTTTTATGGAGAAACAATATTAATGTCTGCGAGCAAAGCCGCGGGGAAAAGCTAGTATTTAATAAACGGCCCCCAATGGCTTTTACAGTAAACTTTTTTGTTACAGGAATATACAGTGTGTCGAATGGTATAAGACAGTTTACCGTAAACATTTCAACGGAGAGGCGACATGGCTTACNAAAGGCTTTAACGCTTGTTTTCGACTCGCACTACTATTCATGATTGAACAAAACTTTTGGCAGGTACTGTATGAAAAAGTATGTTTAATGAATAAGAGTCGAGAGTATAATGAGCTTTTTTCTTCCTACCTACCATTTGTCGAACGCGCATCTAAGACATTGGAAGGGGCACACCGCTAGAGAAAGTAAATGAAGTATAGCTCCATAAATTTCTCTAAAATAATACCAGCAAAGGTCCGTTTGTAGGACTAAACCGCCGGTTGTATACGAATGGAGTACTGAAACAGTACCGCATTTAGTACGAAAAGAACACGGATACAGCACCGATTGCTTTCCAGAAAGCTACTGAACTACCACCTTTTTTTATTTTTTTAATTTAGTTTAACCTCGAGGAGGGGAAATCTTCTAAAGGCATCCCCCAAAATGGAGGTAGTGTCGAATTCACTCCTGATGGGAGCACCTACCAACTAAAAACCCTCCTCGAGTTGGTAGATCAACCTGGCGGTTGTGACTACCGGGAGAAGATGGGAAACGTATGAGGAAGGGGAGAGGGTTGAGTGGGAGATAGGTAAAGAGGTGAGGGAGGGAGGTTGGGGAAGATGAACTGCGAAGAAGGTGGCCCGACTCTGAAGGGAAAGATGGGCACTCGCCCTAAAAAGCGAATATACCACCGAAACAGCGACGCATTTATACTAGAGATGTGCCGACTATGACTTTCGCCGACTAGCCGATTGGTCGGTTCCAAAGAGGCTGATTAGTGGACCAATCCGATCGCGGTTTCGGAGAAATTCGGAAATTTCCATGATGCTTCGTTTACAGCTTATTTGAGCGCAAGTATTGCTTACTTCGCATTGTTTTTTGATTTTTGCTTTTGCGCGGGTCACAAAAGTACTGTATTTTTGTGTAAAAACATAATAATTTTCTTGTTCAATAAAGTGAAAGAGCTCAATTACAATTTAATCATGTCAAAAAGACAGCCTCGAGTATGAATTTTTTTTTACCAATTGAACAATAATTCTTGTAAAGTCAAGTGGAAGCAGTGCCAAATGATACAACAAACAGGAACTACAAGTATAAACTACAATATCAAATACGGACATCCAACCTTAATACCTCAATTAGGTTCTATGATCAAATGCTCGACCACAGACTATTCCTTCCAGTCGCAAATCCAAGTCTATTAATAATACAAATTCCTAGTATTTTAGTATTTTATTTAAATAAGAAGAATATATATATATATATATTCGAGTTATAAATTTTGCCACCAGATGGTGTATGTCAATTTGACGGATCCCAATAGTAATAATATTTATTTAAACAATGTTTTCGATTACTTACGACAGTTACATACTGCGGGGACTGACATTTTACTCTCAACGCTGCGAAAGAAGCATAACTTCAAAGAAACGCAGAACAATATAACTAATACATTTACCGAATGCCTTTGTAATTGTGTTGACTATTAGAAAAAGACCAATGTGGAGAAAAAGGTTCCTGTTGTTACCATTCACGAAGTATCATCTCAAAATAGCGCTTTCTCGTTTGTCAAAGTATCTACGTCGATTCTTTGATATTTATCCGAGCGTATTTTCCATTCCATTACAAGTCATTATTTTAACGATGTCAAAAAATATGAAAAATACCAATCCCAATGTAATTTACATGCCATTGAAATAATCCCTACTTGAATAAACATCGTTGTCATCACAATTTTCATTGTCCTCCTTTAGTCAGTTGATATTTGAATCTATATATGTAAAAGAAAATCGTTTTAGTTACACCATTTATAACTCAAGAACGGCTAAAGCGATTCGGCTAAAAATTGATGGGGTGGTAACTTAGAAACAGGAGATGGGCATAGGATACTTGTTATCCTGTTCCCATGGAAAAAAACGTGGTATAACAAAACGCAACTGACAGCTAAACGTAATGTTGTCTATGGTTAAATATGGTGTTTTACTTATAGTCAGATTTAAATGAAACTTGGCTTTAATGCTTTTTCACATGAAATTAGTAACATACATACCTATTTCAACATTTTACAAAATTCTTCCTGTTTAGGAAGCTGCAAGGGGTGTGCAAAGATTGCATATTTGTTTTTGATCCGATTTACTTGAAACTGGTTAAGAAATTCAACCCTTATTGGGAGGGATGAGTGGTGAAGAGGAATTGCAATGTTTGAATGGAAGATATATTATTTGTGGTTGGATTTACTTAATGGTCTCTCATTTAATTTTTGAAAGACCTATCTCGACATTTTAAAAAATTCAACCTCCAAAGGGGCAAGAGGTTAAAGTGTTGCAATTTTTGTTTGGGACATACTTTATTTGTTGTTGAATTTACATTTAACTTGGTATATATGCTGTTTGATATTATTAATCAATTGAAAAGAGGTTGCAACGTTTGCATGGGGTATATTTTATTTGTACTCGGATTTGCTCGAAGGTTGCTCATTGTTGAAATTAAGCAAATACGTATTTTGGCAAGTTTTAAAAATCAACCCTTAGTATTTGAAATCTAAGATGGCGACATTACATAAAATTAAAAAGTTGTAAGGTTGAACTGGGAGTTAAAAGGTTTTATGGAGAAACAATATTAATTGCTCCTGAAATACTAAACTGTTCATTTAGCCACATTCTATTTACATAGACATCAAAAGCGTTCGGTGCAGATTTCACCTTAATGATTTCTATTTATTTTAAAAAATATATAGAGGATGACATTTATTTACTTTTAATCTTTGCCCCCATTGAGACAACGTGTTTGTGAACGACCCGTGTAGTTCAGGTTATTTATCATCAGGTGCTAATTTTTATCAGAACGCGGTCATATAGATCCATAAAATAATTTAATTACAAATATTCGTTCTCATTACGTCTTTCTTTGTTCGTTAAGCTCAGGTAGTACAATGAAATCCAAATCACGCCACGAAATATTCCAATTATCTTTAAAAATTACAAAACAAAAACTTTTTAATGCTTTACAAATGCATTTATATGATCTATTGTTACGCAATTAAAGCTTAGATGATAGAACGCCCACTTGAGGTAAATATCATAAATACAGAATAGATCCATAGCCACCTATGTATATGTTCGAAACGGATAAAACAATCGATTGGAAATTAAACAAAGTTCGAGTAAGAAAACAAATTCCNTTTGTTTATGTACTGAAAACATTAGCATTGCATCTTTTACAGATGGAATAATAAAGCTAGCTAATATGCAAATAAAAGGTGTTGAAAAAGTGAATGCAACTGTCATAAAATGAGAAAGGGAACTTACTTCCTGCTGAGAGTGAAGCACGTACTCCTCCCGCATTAATAAATCCTAACGGCGGATATTTTCCTTGAGTTGAATCTGCTCCTTTGTACTGAAACGAATGAAGGTAGGTCAGTAAAATGGTTTGTGTCTCACAATTTTTAACTGAGAAACTGAGATTGAGAAAGAGAACCCGAAGACTGGTTGGACACTTACTTCCACTTCTTGGTATTTTGAGCCAATAAGTATTTCGATTTCCCGAAAACTAGAGCAACCCACATTTCTAATTATAGACATTGTTTTATTAATTACTAATAGTGGTCAATGTAAATATGCAACCTCAACTTGAAATCACTTTTCAATTTTGAACCACTACAAATTTCCTCAAACTAATGTGGAAAATATTTTTGTTGCTGTTGTCACCCCCCGCAGGGAATCGAAGTTTCATATATCCAGTATATACTTATAATTACGTTAATAATAAAAATCGACGGATCGTTAACCTAGTAGGTCAGGTTTGTCGTGGTTGCTGTTGTCATCTCTCGTGGCTTAGTTGTATAGAGCATTAGTGCGTAAAGCCAAAGGTCCCGGGTTCGATTCCCAGCGGGGGGTGACAACATCAACAAAAATATTGTCCTCATTAATTTGAGGAAATTTGAGTGGTTCAAAATCGAAAAGTGATTTCAAGTTGATGTAGCATATTAACATTGACCACTATTAGTAATTAATAAAACAATGTCTTAAGAATTTTGTATGTGATGATGTTTTGGTGCTATTATAGTAAGTTTTTTGGCGAGGCTCTGTTTGAGGGCTCTTTCGGATCTTTTTTTAATGTGGTGCTAGTTTGGAGGTGTTTTAGAGTTTGAAAGGGTAGTATTTTGGCTATAATTTTAGAATTCAAATTTTCGTCTAATTTGTAGGAACTATTTCGATAGTAATTTAGGTCATTTGAGATATTTGCAGGCGATTTGGTGGTGTTACAATTCTATTAATTTTTACTCAGGTTAGCACCTGATTTTTGGTCAAATTAGCTGGTTTCAATGCATACGTCCTAACTTTATGCTAGCACCCCTCTATCCCATTTTGTTACTAGGAAAACAGTAATATCTGGCGGTTCTGGGATCTTGCTCTATTGGGATCCGTCAAATGGGAGGAGCCTAAAAACATGGCGCCGATTAGAAAAAAATTTATCGTACTTCCTATAGCGTACCGTGCAATTTCCAAGTTTTTAAATTACGATAAAATGATAAGTATCGACATAATATGTGATTGGGCTGACACAAAGCCTCGGAAAGAAAATTTCGTTGAAGGTGAGCGTGTTTTTAATGTCAATCACATTATAAAATTCGGAAATAACAAATCCGGAAGCTAGCCTTCAAATTCCGTCAAGTTTACTGCCTACTTTTTACAAACTTCGGATTTAAAAAGTGATTCACGTTATATAATTGGTGAGGTGATTCTGGGTGATTTAAGCAATATCATATCAATGACTTGCACGTGCAAAGCCGATTTAAGAGAACGTTGCAAACACATTATTGCAACTTTGTTGTATTGCAGCAGGTAGGTTCTTAACCTCAAAATACTTATATCGTATCATTAGAATTGTGTTAAATCAATTACACAGGAATAAATAATTTCTCACTTTATAATTTTAGTATGATTCTAGTTTTAAATATTAAGGTTATGGCTGATGGTAAATACTTGCTGAAATATAATCATGTGCATTAAAATGACGTGAACAAATTTTTATTCCGGAATTCACTTCTTTGATACCTACTGCTTTCATCCAAGCTTCTATTAGTTTACTTTTTTCTCTAATTTTCCGAATATATTTTTTACATATATAAAACGGTTAGTTTTTATTGGAAAGTAGTTAATGTAGGTGAAGAGTGAAGATCTATGTCTGAAGTGCTATTGCAGCTTTTCACTGAACATATTAACTTTTTATTTGATTTAACTTTAGAAGAAAACTTCGTCGACTCCATCATCAAAAAAATTTTTACTTTTTTAACGTGTTTTATTATTTTAATAAACAATTTTACAATTTGCGTGCACAGTTCCTATGTAAATTTTTCCCTCATTCGAGTTATAAATTTTGCCACCAGATGGTGTATGTCAATTTGACGGATCCCAATAGTAATAATATTTATTTAAACAATGTTTTCGATTACTTACGACAGTTACATACTGCGGGGACTGACATTTTACTCTCAACGCTGCGAAAGAAGCATAACTTCAAAGAAACGCAGAACAATATAACTAATACATTTACCGAA